AGCAAAAGCAACTATATGTTTAAATCTTAATATAAATGAGTAACAGTAGGTGGACATTAGGTAAGGCTGCACTTTTTGCAGCGATCTCGAATAGAAAACTATTTCTGTATCAGTGATGTGTTTTCTGTCTGCTTTCAGAACCAAACATGATGAGCTAGCAGGTTGTAATGCTGCCTTCAGTAATAGTAATAAATCACACAGCAATAGTACATCAAAGATACTGAAGGGGCACATAACCCAGGTAGCTAGCACAACTAAAACAAGCTATTTGCAGTAGGCTAACGTAAAAAAAAACGTACTTCCAGATGTTTCTTTGGGTTGGAGTCTTTTGACGCTGAGAGCAGCCTGGTCCCTGACAAACAGAGTTTGCATTGCACGCTTTCTTCTTTAAATGTGAAGTGGTGTGGGAAGTTCCAATTAAGAGATGCATTCCTGCCCGTGCACTGCTGAATACCACCTATTTAAGCAGTAACTGTAACAGTTACTCGTATTTTGTGTGTTTAATACGTAATGCTGGTACATGTATCCTCCCCAACACTGGCAGTAAAGACGGTTCATCGCTGCTCATTTTTGAATGAACACACAAAGTAAATAACAGCTTCACAGGAGCGTGTTGGTTTTCATCCTCAGCACTATTTGATTTAAATTCTTGGAACAAAGTGATTTTAAGGCTCAAGCTTGTATGTAATTTAAGCTCCTCCTCCTTCACTCACCCTGTTGATGAGCTCCCCCACCATGCCGGTCCAGCTGCCGTTGGGCTCTGGTGCTCCGTACAGCCCGTCGTCCACCAGCTTAATCTTAAAGGAGAACTTCAGGATGTCTGCCAGCTCCCGCAGCATGTCCACGCAGAAGCCCTCATACTGATCGTTGCCCTGGTACTCCTGGTAGTTGGACTTGCGCATCACGTAAGGGTTTTCCTGTCAGAGAGGAAGAGGCGGCTCAGAGCAGCAGGTCCACCCACCACAGACGCTTTGTCACAATCAGATACGAAAGGCTCACCAGTATTGTGGTGACGACGAGCGACTTGTTGGCCAGCGTCTCTGATGCGTTGAGGTCCAGGGAGGTGGAGTTCATGGCCAGCGTGTTGTTGGAGTACCAAATGCCAATCTAAAGGAGGGGCGACAGAGGAGTTAGAAGCAGAAACAGAGAGACTGAGGACGGGAGGAAAAGTGTTTCTAAGGTGGAAAACGTGATTTTTCTGTCAGGGTCAAAGTTCAGACCAGAAAAAGGCCGACGCTCTTCCAAAGACTGGGCCTCCATTAGTCTGATGACATCACCAGCGTGTCTGTCTGCTTTTAGGCTTTTTTCTTTCTATCAAGTCAGGAGATGTTGCGTAAGCACCGTAGGTTAAAGGTCACAGGCCGTGCGACAGTTGGTTAACGTTACAGAATTCACTGCTCCAGTTTCCATTTGTTCAAGCCTGCAGACGACTTTTTTCTTACAGTCGGCTCGACTTCGAAAACAAATAAATCACGACACACGGATTAGTCGATGACGTGTTTGCGGTCGAACACTGTCAGAGACAAACCTGCGAGTGCGCACACGTCTGTTACGTCTCCATAACAGTCGAGTTAGATGACAAAGACGACCCAGAGAGGAAGGATTAAAAACCAGTCTGGGATAATAAAACACGAGGAGGAGGGAGCTGAACGCTGCTGCTGCTGCTGCAGGATCAATGCTGGGATCAATAGAGGAGGATCTGGCTCCTCCCACCTCGTCCTCTGGGTTAAATAAGCTTGTAAACACCTACACGCTGACCTCACGCCAATCCTATCCCATCTCCCAAACTCCCGACCTTAGCCGACCTCTCGCCCGCTGCTGTGCATGTTTTAGCTGTGAGGAGACGAGCTGTCACCCAGAGGACTGGCTGATGGAGAGCGAGCACCACTCCCGTCTCCATCCGCACGCCTCCGTCCTCTCGGCTTTAATTCACGTCCAGCATGTCTCATCTATCTTTGCCTTTGCTTTGTTTACCCCTGAAAAACATTCGCTGAGGGTCATCACGCAGGATTTCCACCATGACATTAATACTAAAGAGCCGTTGAGCGTTTCGTTCCAACGCTGCTCCTGCTGCAAGCACACAGTGTCCTGGCCTAGTCTGGGAAGCCCACCTGGAGGAGGCTGCTTTGATACCTGAACCTGAAGCTACACAAGCGTAAGGTTGCATTAAAGGGGAAGTGTGCTCATATCACTGAATATTCATGCAAACTGCTGCAGTGAAACAGCGAGGAGAGTATAAGTAATCCGTGTAAGCACCGGCTCAGGCTTCAGACAGCTTTAAACTCAACTCTGATTTGCAGGAACGGGGATATCCTCAATCCTGTTAAGTCTGACATCGACATCCATTTCTGGCTCCTTGGGTTCCATAAACAAACACACCCGAGGCTCAGCTGATAGTTAGAGCTTCTCAGTGTTTCAGTGGTTCTCGTGCACCTCAGGTGTCTTTCAGGTGTTTCGAGCTGCTCGTGCTTTCCTTCCTTTGGACCTCACTGCCGCCTGGTGGCCTCCTGGACCGCATTCTTAAAGTTACAGTGAAAAGCTAAGAACACAGACTCTCGAATTACAGCTGAAAGTCTGCACTTTTGTTTGATTTCAGTCCTGTGTGGTGCAGTGCACAGACAAAACTACAAACGTGTGTGTGTCCAGCTGATTATGGACCAAACTGTGTCAAAGAATAACTTGATTGTTTCATGATTAAACTAGAAACATGGATAATGTCCATAACAGCAGCACAGTGCTGAGGTAACTGTGTGAATCCATTCGGCTCCTGAAAATGTGAAGCAAACTTAAATGGGTTTGACTAGAATCCATGAATCTGGACCTCAGTAGACGCCACAGAGTAAATGAGGTCAGAGTTAGCGAGAGCAGCAGATCTATCAGGATGAAAATCAATTTGGATTCGATGCAGGAAGCAGAGCAGCCTGAAGCAACGACCTTATCGAAGGAGCGGCTCATCCTCCGGGGAGCACGAGTGCGCTCTTGTGTTTGAGCTGCAGCGTAAATCACGCACTGTCTCGTTACTTCTCACGGGAAGCTTCACCCCTGGTACACGAGCCCACCTGACCCCGGGCTGACCTCCATTGATCTGCAACCTTTTAATATATGTATGAGGTCGTAAATGTGCGCCGAGCCTTCAGGAAAAAATTGGTTTGCACTGATTTTATCGACGAATGAGAGAAGGGTTTACTGCGGAGCAGACGACGCATCCTGCACAACTTTTAAGGTCACTGCGTAGGACATCCACGCTCATCCACCCGCCTGATCTAAAGGCACAAATTTACATCTCTGCGGCTGAATGATGACCTAATCTCTTTCCTGTCAGCTCCCCACTTGACCCTATTTGACCTCTGACCTCTTTATGGCCTGCAGGGTGTTTCTCCAGGATCTTCAGGGTGTAATTGGTTCTCTGGCCTTTGCTGTTGAACTCGATGTGACCTGTCAGACCGTCGTACTCCACCTGATGACACACGGGCAAACACCAAAGAGCAGGTTAGCAGGTTAGCTAGGTGCAAAGCTAACTGAACGTTGTGCTATATTAAAGTAATAATAAGATAATATCAGTAGATGGAATACAAACGTTAGTCTACTTTTAATTCTACTCAGCTTCAATGTGAAGAATAAGAAGGAAAATAAAAGCACATCTATTTCCTGATTGATAACGACATGTAAAGAACAGCATGACGCTGCAGTGACATCACCCGCTGATGTCACCATCTTTGTGACGGGCACCTAAGGTGGTCATGTGTCATCATGAGGTAACACGCCCTGAGGCAGGGCAGCTAATTTAAGTTTAAAGAGATGAAATTACTACTGAGTTTAGCTCATCAGTGCGGTTTCTCCTGGTGGGAAAATTAACCACGCCCCCCACCCTGAAGCATGACCTGCTTTATCATCTGTTTTAGTGAAAGAGGACCTTAATGTCCGCACTCAGTAAGACCTCAAACTAGCAAACGAGCTCGTTGACTCATTAGGACGGCGCTTATGGAGGCCATAAATCAGTGAGCCGTACACTTCTTTGTACAGCCAGAGTCACCTCCTGCTGCTCAAGCGGCACTTCCACATCAGCTTTACTATTCAGACCCAAAAGCTACAGTCATCTTTTATATACAGTCTTTGCATGGAGTGACTGCAAACCATCCTGTCAGTGCTAACCTGAGGGTGAGAGAGCTTCACACCCTGGACTCTCTCTCCAGTAAACTGTTAGCCGGTTTAGCTGCACAGACTTGTTAGCAGCTAGATGACACTCGGCATCTTTATACGGAACAACAGACTGCGTTGGCGTTCACGTTAAGGATGCAGAAAATCTGGGAAAGATGTTTACAGCAGCTCAATGTGAAGCTTTATTACAGGCTGCACTTTAATCTGACACACACACGTTTTCATATCTTTGTGGGACATCTCATTGACATAATGCTTTCCCAAGCTGCTAACCTTAACCATCAATGAACCCCGAGCCTAACCATCACCATAACCTAAACGTAACCCTGACACTAAAACCACACTTTGAGTCTCAAACACGCCTTTAAGCTCATGGGAACTGGGATTTAGGTCCCCACACAGATATCAATACATCCTCTCACACACACACTGGAAATAGAAACTGAGACAACAGGAGAGACAGACAGTTCATCAGATCAGTGACGCTGCTGCTGCTGGTGTGTGTGTGTGTGTGTGTGTTTGCAGGAATGTGCAAATAAGTGTGAGAGATGTGCAGCCAAGCGTGCATTTTGTTCCTTAGTTTATGTGAGTTATGTGTAATCGAGTGCACATACACTATGAACGGGTGTGTGCGTGTATCTGTGTGTGTCTGTGTGTGTGTGCGTGCGCACCACTCAAGATAAATTACATCCCAAAAACAATGTGGCGAGAGAGAAGGGGAGAGGGAGCGCAGTCTCTGGTTGCTGCCAGGCTCAGTGCAGAGATGATGAAGTGATGCTCGGAGAGCAAGCAAAACAAATGGAGAGAGGGAGCGGCATCCTCAGAGGATGGAAAAAACAAGAAGTGGCAGACAGACAAAGACGGGGGAAGAGGAAGACAGGAATAAATCAAATGGACATGAAAATGAAAGAAGGAAGGAGGGAGGAGGCCTCCTTCCACGGGTGCAGCTCTGCAGCAGCTCGCCGTGTTAAAACCAACAAGTCCTCTAAATGCTGCAGTGCTGAACGCTCCTGCTGCGAGCTCAAATCCCTGCCAGTGTTTCCACTGAAATATGAAGTGTTTCATACCAGCAGCATCCACACCCACCTACAGCCAAGTTCACGCCTTCTACTGAGTCCCTGCCTATTTGGAAAAAACAGCTTTCAAAGCTTTTAAAAAGCTGAAATGTCAGAGACCACACGGCTGCATGGGAACCAAACCTACACCAGCACAGAGGTGAAACCAGCGTGCTGCTGTACTGGCTCATCCTCCAGTGAGCTTTTTAAACTGGAAACACTGCTGTTAGCACTTCCATCCTTTGGCCTGTTCAGTGAATGGAAGCAGAAGAAGAAGAGCTGCGCTCGCTGCTGTTGAGACGGCAGTAAGCTGTGAGCCCTTCATCCCTACATTACCCATAATGCCTTTCTGTGAGATGTCTGTGGGCCTCCTCTGATAATGCGTGAGGTGTGTCTGTGTGTGTTTACCATGCGCAGGTAGTTCATGAGGCTGGTGCCGTGCTGCCAGATGAGCGGGGAGGTGCAGCTCAGCGGCTTCACGCCGATCTCCTGACTGCGGTTCAGCTCTCGCACGGCGCTCACCACCACGTGAACGGCGTCGAACATCAGTGCTGACGACAGCTGAGACAGACACGGGTGAAAACATTAAAGCATGAATGGGTTCAATAACTGACACAGCAGAGCACTCTGATGTCGCAGTGGAGGAGCTGCCTGTGTGCTCGAACTTTTCCGTCTCTGTGAGGAATAAATACGACGACTTCCATCAGCGCCGTTTTACTCTGAGAGACTAACCAGTGTCAGCTGCTTCTCCCAGCCGGACACAAATGTGTCGCTCTCAGTCCGACACTCGTGAATGATCTCTGCAGCTCGGCCTCTACGAGAACATCTTCCTAATGTGTTTCTGAACCCTATGAGTGATGCACAGATCTGGACTGTCCATAACCCAACTGTATTCATGTAAATGACGAAGGGTGATGACGGAGGATGCCGGTACATCTGCACTCTGTTGGTTTTAATGCATCTGTCTGATGCACACGAGTCACAGAGTTCTGACATCACGCCGTTCAGCAGGTAGCTTGCTTGCTCATATTTTGCTTCCAAAAAGCAAAATGTTCTTGAGCAACAGTTCTTCAGCTTTCTGACGGTATTTCAAAGTTCGTCTGTCGGTCCAGTTCTGGTGCCTGACCATTTGTTTCTGTCCGTTAAGCCTCTGAAGCCTCAGAGTTCACACTGAGCTGAAGGATGAAGCTGCTCACACCAAATATTCAAACTCTGTTCTTGCCTATTATTATTCCATGTATGTTTGCACATGTTATAATGAACCTCCAGGATTCCTGCAAAATCTAAAGAAATGAATGGTGACTTAAGACTTTTGCACAGTGCTGTAGTGTGATTGAACTCCTATTAGCCATTAAGAGTACTGGGTGAAGTTAAGAGCTTAAAAGCTGAGATCAGAATAACATCAAGAACAATCTGCTGCATGTGTCCTGTTCATTCAGCATGCTCTCCTCCACATTCCCCACTGCAGCCCACAAAGCTGCACAAGACCAAAACGCCAAGAAACAAGAATAAAAAGCTGTGTTTGTTGGTGCTCCTACAGCTGAAGACGCCGGGGTATTGATAGCAAGAAGAGGAAAATTAAAGCCCTCCTGCTATCAGCGGCTCTCAGCGCTGGGCTCAGCAATCGACTCAATGATCCTATCACAGTCTGACGTTCTGGTCTGTTTGGTCAGTTGTCAATCAAACTGACACTCTGAGGGAATCAGACAAATTGTACGGAGGCAGAGCGGCACAGTCTGTCAGCGGCTGATAAAGAAGACGGATGTATGACCGAGTGTGATTGGAGTTCTCTCCGAGTCGATAGTTTCAGGGCTGGATGACAATAACTAATTACAGACTGAAGAGAGACAGATAGACGAAGTGAAATCAGAGGCAGGAAGAGTGAAGAGTTCTGGTGACTCCCAGTCCCAGGTTTGCTCCGCCTCCTCCAACATGGACCATAACTTTACTGAGGAGACACCGGGCTGTAACCGACATGCCGGCACAAGTGATTCTCACACAAGTGTTTGGACTCATTATTTGTAGTTTTGGCTCTATCCTCAAAGATTCCAGATGTGACTGAAGGACAGCTTTCAGTCCAGGTGTTACTGCAGGTAAGGAGGGGTTACTGCAGGTAAGGAGGGGTTACTGCAGGTAAGGAGGGGTTACAGCAGGTAAGGAGGTGTTACTGCAGGCAACGAGGGGTTACTGCAGGTAAGGAGGTGTTACTGCAGGTAAGGAGGTGTTACTGCAGGTAAGGAGGTGTTACTGCAGGTAAGGAGGTGTTACTGCAGGTAAGAAGGTGTTACTGCAGGTAAGGAGGGGTTACTGCAGGTAAGAAGGGGTTACTGCAGGTAAGGAAGGGTTACTGCAGGTAAGGAAGGGTTACTGCAGGTAACGAGATGTTACTGCAGGTAAGGAGGGGTTACTGCAGGTAAGGAGGGGTTACTGCAGGTAAGGAGGGGTTACTGCAGGTAAGGAGGGGTTACTGCAGGTAAGGAGGTGTTACTGCAGGTAAGGAGGGGTTACTGCAGGTAAG